AATGGTCATACTGTAGTTTTGTTTGGCCTGAATCCAAGCTACCCAATATTCTGCGTTCTGAAGTTGCTTATAGAGCAGGTAAGCCTCCCAGACCTGTTTACAGGCCTCTGTATATTTTTTCCTAGTCTTCTTTTTCTTAGAAGTTGCATAGTCTAGAATCCTAGACAGAAATAGATCAATCCTAGACATTCCTCTGTGAACATGTGTGGCAGAAGTGTGTATGGTCCCTCTTCACCAGATGGTAATATCTCCATACGTCTTCTAAAACCACCTGCAGTCAACATAGTGTCAAGGTGTTTATGTTGTACACTAAGAGTGGCAGAGAAAGGTTTTCCTTCCCATGAGTGGTCTTCAAGTGGACAGCACTACAATGAAACCTGATCCAATTAGAAGATAGGAGATGAAGTCAAGGTAAGCAGAAAAAGATTTGTTATCAAATGGAGCCATAAATATGCATAATAGTAAGCTGCTGTGATCCCACCTGTAGTATGATTTTTGCATACTTGAAATATCTTAAAGAGAGCTTGGAGTATTGTGATTGAACAGAATTTTTGGAAATTTTTGTTTATTGGAAAAGGTTTCAGGGGGGTCCTCTAATGCACAAATAGTTTTTGCACAACCGTGTTTCTGCCAGTAGGGTTGTCTATTTTGCCAGTGAGGGTTTGCATACCTTTTAATGATATGTTTCACTGACTGATATGATTTATAATTACAATCCTTCAAGTCACCTACCCTGTGTTCTACTGCTTGGGTCTATTTATCCTTGGTATCTAGTGCAACATATGCTGTTGTAGAGTGTCAGCAGTAATTGTGGAAATATCTGATGGCCACCTCTGCACCAAGTATTGGTAGTCTATGGGGGTGCCAGTAGGGTAGTAAGATGGCTCAATCTCCGAGTCCTTGGTCACACTATGTGCCTTTGTCATCTTGGAAGAGCTTCATGCGTTGTAGAATATGTAGTGAGGGCTTTGCGGAGTGCAATTGGGCGATCAATTTGTCCATGGCCATATTAGGTTTTGCGTGCGACATCAGTCTGTCCTGATGTCGGGCTGAGGAGAGAGTAGGTTGTGTTGCTGTGGCAAAACAGAGCTCACAAGTGCTTGTCTATCCCACTTAAATAACAGAATTCCTTGGTACTAAAATCAGAAGTTGCAGCCTCAAAGGAGATTTTATATTGTAAAGGATAACTGTTTTTAATCAGGTGTTTGCATGTATATTTTAAACAGTTTTTAGTGTAATATTGAACTAGTAAGGGGAATGTAGTACACTTTACCAGTTTATTTTTATATTTATATAATGTATTTGAATATATTTCCTTTTTATGTGAAACTTTCAGAGATGTTTTTACTTTCAATGTGATTTCAAGAGTATAATTTCATGATTGAAGTGGCATTATTGCACTTTCACTTCTTCTATTACAAGAAACTTGCATTTTTAACAAGTTCTGAGTCGCCACTTTAATCCACTTCTCTCAGAAGTGGTATTTACTTTCCCCTGTAATATTCGTATAGGTGTATCCATGTAGCTCTAAATTCACCTGTTTGTGTAAATGTTTATAGTGGCAACCCTTCCAAATGCAGATGAAGGTTTGGAAGAAAACCATAGCACATCAATTTCTCCTAAATTAAAAATAGCAAATGCCCAAATTTTCAAATGCTTGTAAGTCAGCAGGCAAACAAAATCTCTAGGAGCAAAAGAGCACAAAATGCTGTGAGTGTACTTTAGATTCAGAATGTAGTTGAAAGACATTTCAAAAATAAGGGAGGCATTAGTGAATTGGTGAAAAGTTGTGTGTTATCCTACTAGGAATGTGTATATATACTCACCTGGTTGGTTAAATTTTTCTGTCTTATCACCTTCAGAAACATCGGTGGATGCTATGTGCTGTCTTATCTGTTTTATGTGACCCAATTTTGACCTTAAGAAGAGCACCACAACTTTGGGTGTTATGGACATGGTGCTGGATGGATTGAGCAGTTTGCTAGGCTTTTATTTTTGCCTGCATCCCCATTGGGGAGGTTTACTCCCTCTAATTCTGAAATGACACGGAAAATCCAAAATTATGAGTTGCTACCAGTAAGGAAATAGTGGGGAAATGTTTCCGATAGGAACACTTTTTCTCATGATAGCTGTTTAAATAGAGATTTGCATTACATTGTAAAGATATTTTCACACTTCCTGTTGCATCTACAGGGCAGGAAGTGAAGGGAAATCTCCGTAATGAGACACAGATGGTAAAAAACCCTGACATTGGCATTAGGCCTCCCCTGCGTTATCCAAAATGATAGAAATTTTTTGGGGCTTTAGATATACTTTTAGCAGGAATGCTAGTCAAATTCCTTCACATAAAGGTGAACACGTAACATTACATTATACAACTATACATTTGAAATAATATGCAATGTCTAACAGCAATCAAGTAAAATTACTTGTTTCCCAGTAAACATTATAGTAATAATTCAGACAGAATTGTTCTGTTCAAAAAATGGAAGCATAGGTGCAAATGTACAATAATAAATGATCAATTCTTTGTTAATTTTACCCAGAGAATAACAAATTGGCACTGTGGGAAACTATTTCATATTTGTTCTTATTTTCTTCTGTCAGGATCCCCAAAAATGTCCACATAAAAAATATTAATTTTTTATACATTATAAGACATAGCTTGGAGTACCTGAGCCTAGTATTGGACTCTACCTTCTCCAGAGTCTTCCTGTCCCTGGATAAAGCTGCTATCCTTCCACTCTCATGTTCGGACCCTACAGTTCAGGAGATGTCCAGTCATTGGCTTTCGTACAAAGGCCCTGGGCTTGATGGTGGCCTCCTTCAAGATGGTTCCCTATGCTCAGTTTCACTCCAAGCATGTGTAGCTCAAAATCCTAGCTGTGTGGGACAAATAGGTTAGATCCCTAGATCTTCCCATCTGCTTGTCCAGCAAGACAAAGCTTGCCCTGGTATATTGGCTATCTAGTCCAGCACTGGAGTCAGGGATTCTTGGAAGGTGCTCTCTATACATTCCAGCCTAAAGTTGGGACGGAGTCCTGGAGAGACTCTCAGTCTGGGGGACCTGGTCGGAGGAGGAGGAGTTCAGCTACTGATAACCATTCTGGTACTCAGCGATTTGGTTGTCTATTCAACGCTGGACGCGTTTGTCTATTCAATGCTATTCAGCTTTGGACCTCTCAAGTCCAGAGTCATCCGACCAGGTTTTAGTTTCACAACTTCATGGTCGTGGCTTTCAACAACCATCAAGGAAGCACCAGAGGTTGTGCAGCTCAAAGACAAGCAAACCTAATTCTGGCTTGGGTGGACCTTCCGGTGATGTCCACTGTACACATTTGAAGCTTAAAAAAAAAGTGAGGTAAAGTGGTCCCTCCATGGAGATGTGTTTCAAGCCCTGGGTCGCAGGAGGGGGACACCAAACATGGGTGTCCAGGTTTGACAAACTGGAAAGGTTTGTTATCAGTACATCTGCTTTGCAGAGCTGATGTCAATGGCTGAAATCGAGTTTGAGCCAGGGCACTATATAAATGGATATTGTATGGTTTCCTCAAACACTCTAAACACTTGCAGGTGGGTTGATTAGCTTCTAACTTGACCCTACTATCAGTGTGCATGCAGGATAGGAACCTTGGACCTTGAAATAATTGAAAGCAGGGATTGCCCTGAAACTCCTTGCAATCATTTCTTATATTTATTCCCAATGTTCCCTTATTTTTTGCATTATTCCTGATGAAGAGGGTGTTTTTTTTACTCCTGCAACGCGTTAGCTATTCTACGTTAATGTCCCCTGACTACTTAAATTTGTGTGGCCCTTCAGTTCCTATATCTACTTGGTTTGTTACCAGCACCAGGGATCCCCAATCCTTTGCAGTGGATGCCTTGGTGACTCAGTGAGATCAATCCCACCTGATCTACGCCTTCCCTCCACTAAAACTCTTGTCTTACCTCCTTTGCAGGATCAAGACAGAGGCCATTCCATTGATCCTCATTTCTCCCAACTGACCCAGAAGGTCCCCTGGCAGACCTAACATGGACTGTCCAGACCTGCCATCACACTAATTGGTATTTAATGCTGATTTTCAGATGCTGACAACTGCACGGCTGTTAAAGCCCAAGTCCTGAGAGACAGAGGCTTTTTGAAAGCTGTCATCTCTATGCTCCTATGCCAAGGAAATCAACCTCCTACAAAGTCTACCATTGCATCTACAGTAGAAGGCGTATTTTGCTTGGTGCAAGGCCAGAAAGTTTCATCCTAGGAAGTACTGTATGGGACGCATTTTATCCTTCCTACATTTTTGCTTGTTCCAGCATTTGACCTTGAGTACCTTCAAGGGTCAGATATCTGCTTTAGCTATATTACACTCAAAGAACTGAAAGGCAAGCCAGAGACTGCTTGCTACTCACTACTTAGTGAATGCCTTTGTGCATGAGTTGGCCCATGTTGTTCACCCATTCATACTCCAGTTACTTTCTGGGACCTCAGTTTGGTCCAGTTGACCTTTCAGAAGCTGCACTTTGAACTGATTAGAGATATTAATCTGCCCTTAATCGTTCACGTGGTGGCCTTCTGTATGGCCAGCACTTCTGCTGGACACGTCTCTGAATTAGTGGTTTTGATGTGCAAGGAGCTTTTTCTAGTCATCTATAAGGATAAAGTTGTGTTGTGGCCTAAGACTTCCTTTCTCCAGTCAGTCGGCAGTGGCCACTACCCTCATGAGCGTAGAAACCAATGTGCCATAAATGTAGGCCTTTTTTGGATTAAATAAGTGGGAAATCTAGATTATTAGCACTACTAAACCGTGCATCTGAAACCTGAATGCACTGAGCTGATTCTTATAGCTAATGTATAACTATATTTATTTTCTCTATCTGTTTTTTTACCTTCTGTAACCTTGTATTGTATATTTAGCAGTAGCTCCCTTTCTCATCAGAACATTTGTGTCCTCTGTAGTTATTGAAGTCTAGCACTGATATTAAATTTTGTTTCTATCTTCCAGTGTTTTGTGACGTTACTCGTTCCCTTTAGTTATATACTGGGAAAAATGGAAAACATCATACCCTCCAGCTTATGGCACTATCTGAGACGCATGTGATCTCATCAGAAGACTACAAGCAACAGGAGGCAACAAGAGCAAAAAAAAAATCTTTGTAGTACCAAGAAATAAATGTACATTGGAGATGGTTTATAAAAACAGAGGAATGGGAAAATTAGAGCAAAATTGTATTTATTGTCCATACCAATATGCTTTAGTGTTTGAGATGTAACAACCTGGTGTGTATGCTCGCCACTGGGGCCGGTATTCAGAAACCATCATATTTTCATTATTGTGTTTTTTAAATTAGTTTTTCTAGTAACCCTATCCTCAATGTTTCTAAAATATGAACACTATTGAAAATGTTGTTTTGAATAGTAACTATTGTTTGCTTACTCCTAATTCGAGGATGGTATATATGCATTTAAAGCAAATAAAAGATAAGCCGCTTTACTGTCTTTTCTGTTTACTGAGATGCCAAAAGGACATGCTTTACTATACCGCAGGAAGTCAGGGATGTGTTATTTCCTACAAGTTAATTGTCTATTTTTATGAATGTTTGTTGTATGTAAAACACATAACCCTCCAACTGTACATTGTGAATCTCAGGTATTACTATTGTGTATCTTGGGTGAAAACAGGATAAATGGACTGTGTGGTACTTTGTCTGTGCCTCTTAATTATTTTTGCATTAGGTTTGCATAACAGTTGATCATTCTCTTGCAAATATCGTTATGAAGTTTTATATACTAAGTGAGTAAAATGGTTTTAATACTTTTCTTATTTAATCTTTGTGAGGGCTTATTTATTACTTCAAATCAATGCATTGGTATATAGCTTTAGAGCTGCAACAATTATTCGATTAAGTCGATTAAAATCGACGATGGAAAACGTTGTGAACGTTTTCCACTCCATCGTCGATTCATCGGCTAAAATTTAAATTTTCCACTCACGCCCGCCTGTTTGCAGCTCCATACACAAGTTACGCTATGCATGCTGCGGACGCCATGCCCACAGCGCACACGGCCGCCGGACACACGCCCGCCGGACAATGCGCACTGCAGAATGCCACCAGCTATAGAGGACTACGCATCCCAGCAATAATACATTATATACAGTGCAATGCAGAATAACCCCAGCTACAGAGGACTACAAATCCCAGCAATAGTACATTATAGTATAGTGTACTATTGCTACATTCCTCTATAGCTGCTGGTATTCTGCACTGCGCCGCTGTATAATGTACTATATTGCACACCATACTCTTTTTTTTTACTTCCACCGTGCCAAGCTTGCTCCCGTGATGGACTACAATCTCGATAGAAACTAGTAGTCCATCACTGAACCCTTTTTTTTTATCCGATTAATCGATTAATCAAACTTAATCGGCTAACTAATCGATTATGAAAATAATCGTTAGCTGCAGCCCTATATAGCTTAAATGTTCACTTTTAGGTTAAGTGGACTTCAATTGAAGTGGACATGTTTTAGGAATGACGTGCACAAGTAAGAATATTTTGACGAATTGGTGTACGGCACAGGGCAGGGCCTTACTGAAAATGTTACAGGAGCTGCTTTTTAGGTTTGTTTTGCTTCAGAAAGAATGAGAAGAGGAGGAGACTTTTGAAACAGTAAGTGCAATAAAGCTGCAGTTAAAACAACAAAAGTTATGGAAAATTTTATATAATATTCAGTAGTATCTCATAACAGTTTGCTGGCAAATAGTCAGAAAAAGTACATTGCTAATATTGTGCTCAACAGCCCTCTGATTAATAGCCTGTAAATGCCAACATTCTATAAACTGTCTTCTTAATAGGGAATAGATAAATAGTTCTCCTATATCGCAAAACTTTTTTGTAAATAACCTGCTCTTTCCTAAATTTCTGGGCACTCCTTCTGTATTCAAAAATAGTGCTCAGTGTATGTAAAATCAGTGTTTATTTCTCTAAGATGGAAAAATTCATAAAAAATCTATTAGTGTAGCTTTAAAGTGTACAAATATTGCAGTGAAGTGTAATGTTTGTATTATCACACATTAGTGGGCGAATAGACAATATATTAAAACAGAGTTATGGGAACAAATAGTTTGGAAATCTTTTGTAACCTCTGAGCCACAACCATACTTTCCAGCATTGGCTCTGTCACTAGACAAGAGATTCTTCCAGTAGTCAGAGTGTTTCCTGGACTATACCCAGTTACCAGACATAAAAACACTGAGGGGGAGGTGTGGTTAACTGCCAGGTAAAACACCAATTAAACAGATATGTTGTGAACGACTCATTAAAGTTATTTAGTGCTGACATTTTTAAGAAAAAAATGTTTAACTTTTCCAAAAACAGAGCACCAATTAATTTTTTTTATATGGGATGTGGAGAAAAAATGTTCTAACAAATTCACACGGTATTGTTTATTGCTTTGCAATATCATAATGTATCTGAATTAAATGAGTGCAGTTGGTGACATTCTAAAACAGACCACAAACCTACCGGTATGAAACATCCTTTGGTATGTTGTTTCTGTATGAGTGGCATCTAAACATTATCCAGTCTTCTTCTAAGGTCTTCTTCCCTTATTGTTTATTTATTTATTTTGTAAATTATTTATTTATACAGGATAAAGACAATACCGTTCACATAAAGTCAAGCAGGATAACAATAAGTCAAAATCAGACATGTGTAAACCAAAAACAAAATTACATATAGAAGCGCAACATCTGCAGGGACTTTTAAAATTACATAAAAGCAAATATAGCAGGAAAGGGGACATGAAAATCTCCATCCAATTTTTAACTAATAGTTGCAGATTGCAACAAAGGACATTATGGGGGAGGAAAGACAAAAGGGGGGAAGAAGAATAGAAAACCAAGGAAGGGGAGAAGGGGAAAGCAATAAGGTAATGGTGAGGGAAGCCAGAGGATCCACTATGTGCCTCCGTAGAAAAAAAGGGGGTGATTTTGCCTGTTATTCCCCTGCTCTGTCTCCAGTCTCTGACTCCAAGGAGACAGATACTCCTGAGAGCATGTAAAAAAAAACGTTCAGAGGTTGACGGAAATGCTTGTGTCTGAGATACAAGGTTACAGTAAGGACTTTCATGCATTTAATTTCCACAATCTCCCATCTCCAGAGTTAGGGTATACAAGCCCTAGCTATGTTCACTAGAAGGATGAGCTTTCTTAAGGGCTGCTCCTCTAGAAATGAAGTGTTCTCTCATGACACATTTGTGCATCTCCCACGACACCAAAGGGGAAGCCTCTGGGGTTGCATTGTCATAAAAGGGTTGGGAGACAGCTGAACTAATTTTCCCCCTGAGAAGGCCCTTCCTGTATGCGGGATTAATTTAACTTCCAGTCCCACGGTTTGGGGGCAGGTGGTCCAAATAAGAGATAGTGACCAGGGCATGGTCGGAGATGGTGCGTGTTTAAATTGTGGCATAGGTAACCAAGCTCAGTGATGACTGAGGCATACAAAATAATCAAAGCCTGAGAATGACCGGTTTACTACCGAATAGTAAGAGAAGTCTTGAGTATTAAGTATTCTTAATGTATCAATCAGTCTATCCTGATAGAGGGCCTGCTTGAATCTGCAGAGGAAGGGTATAGATGTATGGGAAGCTCCTCTGAAAATATCCAGAAATGGGTCGAGAGCTAGGTTAATCTATTTTCCAATCAATCTGAGCTCTTACTCCTACCTAAAATCCTAGTGAACTATTAAGCAGCAAGTGTAATAGTGAATAAAATCACCCTCCATCATAAATTACCCCAAAACACTGAAATAAAAAACAATCTATAAAAATAAATAGACATCAAAAGCCAACTAAAAAGTCCAGTGTCCTTTCAATTCAGAACAAATACTCCATTAAAAAGTGCAACCTGTGTCCTTATATAATAATGATGTGCTTCACAGAAGACGAGACAAAAAAACACAGTGAATATGGTACAGATGATTCTAACTTAAATCCTGTGCTTCTATGTGCACACTCCACAGTCACCAGAGGCGATGGACTATATGCTAAGACAATGGTCTCCTAATGGACATTTTTGGTTGCTTTTGATGTTTATTTGTTTTTTATAGATTATTTTTTAGCACAGCGTTGTGAGAACTAGGCGAGGGAACCCCCCACAATCAAACCTTCTGTAAGCTCCTTAAGGAAGTTGAGTGTTGCCTCTAACAATCAGAATTGGTCTTGGTTGGGCAAATATAGATTGGCAAGAGTCATCTACCTACCATTCAGTAAACCTCTAAGAAACAGGAAACGCCCATTGCCATCCACCAGCTGTGATTGCAATGTCCAGTTCATAGATCTGTAGTGTAGGAGGCTTACCCCTTTTGACTTGTTCAGTGGATTAGTGCTATGATAAGAGAAGGGATAGCGGAAACCACCCAGAAGCTCTTGCGGCCACCAACAAGAGACCTAATGGCAGCAGGTACATAATAAACATCACAATATAACAAGTTAAACTCTGCGGGAGGAGAACAGCTATAAACAAAAACACACGTAATGTGTTATACATAAAATACATGTCATGAGAAAACCACAACTGGCAACAAAATACTAGCCCTCACGGAGTTTCCCAAACTGTAATCCATCATGGAGCATTGAAAGAAAAGTTTGAGATGAGAAAAACTGAGCCTGAAAGGGAGGACAATGGACCAAAGGCAAATGGATAGGTATACATTTCCATAAGTGAGACAGACCTCATGTGATGGCAATGGGGGCAATCCTCGTGGAAGGTTCATATGACAGAATATTCCATGGAGGAATAAACTGGATGGGTGAAAGGTAGTCTAAAGATTCCAATTGTGAACCCCTCACATTATAAATGTACATATCCAGAGCATGTGAGGGCAGTGGAGGGACATGGAATTAAGCGGGGACAGAATTCAACATCAAGGGGAAGTGATAAGGACATGTGTCCCAGGTACACAGGGAGGTAGGAGGCTGCAATCGAAGAGCAATAGTTTTACACTTCTCGGAAGCCAGATTCAAAGTCTTCACATCTGTTAAGCGGTCTCCTAGTAGCGTTCCTTCTCCTACAAGGTAGTTGCCCTGCTGGGATAGTGAGGACGAACGCGGTCTAACCCAGGA